CCACTCTCTCACACAGAATCAACTGGAAAAACAAACTAGTGGGGAGAGAAATACTTGTCATAAGCTCGTGTTTGCACAAGCTTGTATTTCAGCATTTACATGGCTTCACTGATTTGAATACCCTCTCTGAGCAGTAGCCCTGGGCTGATCTCTAAAGATCCTCTTGTCAGAAAATAATGCACAGCATGCGAAACTTATATTTTTATAACTGAAGTAAAAACTCTCAGTTTTGTCTTTTGTTCCCTTCACTCTGTTAAGTAGGATTTTTTAAACTCTGTCCTAAAACTTCGTTATGGTCTGCTTATACTGCTCACGTCTCTCTCGGTTTCTCCCGAGTCGTCTTGTGTCCTCCTGTGCCTGTTATTTCTGATTGCATTCTGGACATGTGCTGTCTGGCAGGTTGTAGAGAGCTTGGAGGCTCTGGGTGATGCTATATTTTCAGAGGAGGTTTGTTTTTGCCTCCGACAGATGGCACAACTGGATGCATTAGCAAACAGAGATAACCACACTTCAACCAGAGGTTAAGTTGACTTGAAACTGGCTTTTAGTTTATGAAGGGCGTATCTCTTTAGGTTGTCTCTCCATCTCTGTTAACTATTCATCTTTCAAAGTTATTTTACCCTGACTTTACCTTAACCTGCTGTGACCGTAAGCAGAAGTCCCTTGCCAGTAGCTCTGACCAGAAATTTCACTTCCAAATTGCTGACCATTTGTTTTATTGTTTGTTTTGTTTTGTTTTAGCCTTTGGATGCAGAGAAAGAACTGGTTGACAACATTGAGAGCATGTGGCTGAATCTGTTTAATGATTCGGTGAATATGGAACGCGCCCTTGGGAGCATAAAGAAAACTTTCACAGAGGTACCTTTCATATTTCTACGTTCTGAGTTGAGGTGTTGAAAAACACCCACTGAGTCAAATGAATGCAACCCTGCTTTCCTCAGATCACTCGAGGTGAGATATCGAGCTACAGGCTGCAGATAGAGGACTTTGCAAAACGTTTTTACCTCGAAGGCCCTGGTTCTGTTGGTGAAGATCTTGATAGCGGTGAGAACAGTCGCGTTAGGGAGACCGGGTGGAATGGTGGTTCTCTTCCTTGCCCGTACACTGGGCTCACCTGGGGAATTTAAAAAAACCACTGATACCTGGGGCCCAGGTCCAGATTGTCTGATTCCATCGTTCTAGAGGGTGGTCTGGTCATATTTAAAAGCTCCAGTGGGGGTTCTGATGTCTGTCCCAGGCTGGGACCAGTGAGAGGAGGGAGGATGCTAAGGAGACGGACTTTTCTAACTGGAGGGGCTTGCAGTTGTCACTGGTCCCCTCTGGTTTTAGTTAGAACCAAGGCAAATAAAGTCAGGCAATTCCCCATCTGTCTCCCTGATGGATGGCTTCTGTGGGTGAAACGATCGTTTACGTACAGTGTCCATGGTTTCCCCTTCAATTTCATATACCTTAATTTTCCTGTATTTTTTTCCTACCTATTATTTACTAGGAATTGAACTTTTAGCCACTTTTGAAAGAGAGTTAGCGAAGCACGAAAAGAACCGTCAAGAGCTGGCCAATGCCGAAAAACTGTTTGACCTTCCAATCACAATGTACCCAGAGCTATTCAAGGTGCAGAAGGAAATGAGTGGGCTGAAGATGATTTACGAGCTGTATGAAGGGCTGAAGGTGAGGGCCCCGCAGGCTCAAGCTCGCTGAAGGCAGTGCGGGAGTTGGTCAGGCTCAGGGGACTCTGATGCCACCATCCTGAAGGGCCTGGGCCAATTCTGTAGAAACTCTCACTGGCTCTTGGGGAAGACGTGATGGGGAGAGGCTGCTGGTGGCATGAGGGTCTCCATTGAGATGACGAGAAGGTTCTGGAACTAGGTAGTGGTGACGGTCGCACAGCATGAGTGTTCCCGATGTCACTGATTTGTGCACTTGAAATGGTTAAAATGATCTGTGTGTCGTGTGTTTTACCACATTAATGAAAAAGAAAGCTCTTTGGAGGTCAGGGCTCGTTAAGGCATGGGGTGAACTGTTTAGTGGGAAGTGGAAGTTAGAAGTAGCAAGTGTCATGTCACTTGGATGTTTTCATTTAGTACGTGTTCCCCATGCAAGGAGGCGTGGGGCGACCCATGGCAGCGTCACGCCCTGGACCAGGATGGGGGCCAGTGAGCGAGGCTGAGTGTTTCTAGCAATCATAGTTGGCAGCCTGGGGGTCAGGGTGAGCACTGATGACGGGCATGGAGTGGGTTTAACCGCAGTTGTGGTTTCCCAAGTGGACTCAGGGAAAGAGCAGAGGGGAAGGTGTTGTGATGACCTACCCGAGTTGTGCTTAGGTGTAGGAACCCCAGGGTGCACTGTGAGTTCTTTCTGATTCATTTCTTGTTCATTTTTTCGAGAAGGAAGTAATGAGTCATGGAATTCACCTCAAAATGACCCAAAACACTGAACACTTAGTATCTTTTTAAAAGACAGAGAAAGAATTGAAAAGATGAGAATGCATTGTAATGCCGTTAAAATGATCACCACACATAGATTTCATTCGTTAGCATAGTCTGTTGTTGGACGTGTCCCATGACTTGAAGCAAGTCTGCCAAGCCCAGATGCCACAGGTGGCTCATGGGAACTGTCCGAGAGGGTAAATTTTACATGTTAAATCTCAGGAAAGTGGAGCCCAGAAAGCCTTTCATTGTGACAATCAATCAGGGTTACCTAAGTTGTACTTTGTAACCTCAGCTGGTTTTATCAGGAGAGAGAAGAGTGTTAGGGCATCTGAATGAAGTACATATAACACCCATGTGACTCCCAATTCATAAAACGCCTGTTTCTGACTCTACTTCTCATGTCTCCTGAGGATGGAAGACATGGGTTTAGATTCCACACATCTTCAGAGATAGCGTTATTTTGGCGAGGGCTTGAAAAAGTTGGGGTTCTTTTGTTTGTGTTCTAGAGCCTGGCAGTTGATCCTTCCTTTGTGAATTGGGGATTGCTGTGGGTAGGTGAGTGACAATATCTGAAAAGAAGTGAGCACGACCCAGGTGTGAGAGCCTGCTCTCCCGGTCACGCTGCCTTCGTGGTTCCCAGGGGTCCTTGCTGACGGGATGCTCATGTCTGTTTGCAGCTTGCGAAGGAAGAATGGTCTCAGACGCTCTGGGTCAACCTCAATGTGCAGTTCCTGCAGGACGGGATTGAGGGCTTCCTCAAATCCCTCCGGAAGCTGCCCCGGTCGGTCCGGAACTTAGCAGTGGCCCACCATCTGGAGGCGAAGATGAAGGCATTCAAGGACTCCATCCCTCTGCTTCTCGACCTAAAGCATGAGGCGCTTAGGGACAGGTTTGTTTTGTCTGCCGGTGGACGTGAACGCAGGGAGGCACTCTCAGTTTAAGATTGGTCTTTGCTTAGATCTGATGACCAAGAGCAAGGTCTCAGCAGCGACGCACGGCTGGAAATATGCAAGTCACGTTCCTGTAATACTGTCCTTGTGAACTTTCTGTAAGGTTATCAGCCGCGAGGGTTCTCCTGTTTTAGGCAGAGCAGCTGTCCGGTGTAGTGTCCTTCGCAGTTCCTTCACCCAAAGGTTTTTAAAAAAACAGCCAGGGGTCTAGACCAGGGCCATCCAGGGGACACACAACCTGCGTGAATCATTTAACATTTTTTGGCAGCTGCATCGGACAAGTAAAAGAAAACAGGTGAAGTTCATTTTAATAAACCCAATTATATGCAAAATATCATTTCAGCAGATAATCAGTGTGTAGCGTCATTCACAAGATATTTTATGTTCTTAAAAAGACATCTCGATCTGGTGTGTGGTTTCTCAGTTTGGGCTTGTCACACTCAGGTGCTCAGTAACCACAGGTGACCTGTGGCTGTCAACTGGACAGAGTGGGTCTCACTGGTTGTTGAATGGAATACCAAGTCGGGGGGCACGGAGGAGGGTCACCTCTCCTCTGTTGTCCTTTGGATGCGGCTCCACACAGACAGGAGCTAAGTAGGAGCGTGCCAATGGCCTTCTCCCTGACGTGCTCCTCTGTTTGTCACCTGGCATCACATGACTGCATTCTACTCAGTGGGAGAGTCACCCCATTTGAGCTCCCTTCCAGCTCCTCTGACCACATCGACAAGAATCTCTCCGTGTTGCTTCCTGGGTTTAATTGTGGCCTCCAGTGGGGTTTGGGAAAACTTTGGAGACATAATCCCAGTGACGTCCTCTCATTTTGGTATTCCATCCCAGAAATGTTTATAGGGAGATAAACACACATCAAGCTCAGCCGGTGTAAAGCGTTTCACATCTATGCATTTTTAGGCACTGGAAGGAACTTATGGAGAAAACAGGCGTGTTTTTTGAAATGACCCAGACATTTACCCTGGAAAATATGTTTGCCATGGAACTCCACAAACACACGGAGGTTCTCAATGAGATCGTCACGGCAGCAGTCAAGGAGATCGCCATCGAGAAGGTAGGGCTGCTTCTAGTTAGGAAACAGCCTAGAGAGAAGAGTGTCGTTGCTCAGAGAGGGAACAGTCTCGCTCTAGCACCTGTCACAGGGAACGTTAGCTCTAGCACCTGCTGTATTTGAGTCATAAAGAACTTGTTCTGGAAGTAGAATTTCAGCCTCAGCTAAATTTTTTACTTAATTATAGTTTCATTATTTATTAAATAACGGACGTTCGTGGTAGAAAATTGAGAAAATGAACAAATCACTCAAAATTACACCACCTGAAGATTATTAACATGTTAGTGTACATCCTTTAACTCTTAAAAATATATGTGCACACGTACACACACGTACACATATACACATACTAAAAACAGCACACACAGGTATATAAAAGCATGTACAAGCATATGCACATACAGAAGCCTACATATACACATAATATACACACACTAAAATGTATTTGCACATACATATATATACAAATGTGTAAACACATGTACAGGCATATGCATGTACGTGCGTAGGCACACATACACGATACACAAACATGACAACACATATATACATGTACATTCATAGGCGTGCCTATACACACGATACACATTCGTATACACACGTGCAAATATTGATAGGGTGTTTTTTGAAAATGACCATAAATAGGCATATTATTTTATAGTTTGATTTTCTTGCTCAATGGCAGACACAGGCAGGATTTTGTGAGTGTGCAGATGGGAGGCAGACGGTGGGGTTTAGACCCTGGCTGTGTCACTTGGAGCTAAGGAAACGGGCATGCTGCTCCACCTGTCCAAGCCCCACCTCACCAGGTGCTGGGAGGTGTGGCGGAGGTCACGTGACCGTGCTCACCTGGCACAGCAGGTCCTAGGCAAACGATGACCAGCATCTCCATGACACAACCTCTGCTTATTCCCACCACTGCTCCAGACGCCGGGTTAAGGGGCTCCGAGGAGGCAGGCTCAGGAAGCTGCTGTTGGGTTAGGGCTCTGTTTTTCTATTTATGTGCCTGAGCCATTCTCCTCATGCTCCTGACCAGGCCGTGAAGGAAATCCTTGAAACGTGGGAAAACATGAAGTTTACTGTGGTCAAGTACTACAAGGGCACCCAGGAGCGCGGCTACATCCTGGGATCTGTGGATGAGATCATCCAGAGCCTTGATGACAACACCTTCAACCTGCAGAGCATCTCAGGAAGCCGGTTTGTGGGGCCTTTCCTGGAGACCGTTCACAAATGGGAAAAGACGCTGTCTCTGATAGGGGAGGTCATTGAGGTGAGAAACCAGACAGGAAAGTGGCCGAGAGCCCATTGTCAGTGGAAAGAAACCATAGTCTCATGCTTTGTGTACGAGCTTCTGCACGAACTGTCCTCTGTCCATCCCCCTGGATCCCAGGGCTCCAACCCCTGTGTACATCTAGAAGCTTCCTCCCTGTCCAGGGCTGGTGTGCAGAGTTTTCTTCTGCTTCTGAGTGTGGCCATGTATTTAAAACTATTTAGCTCTACCCGGCCAGGCGTGGCTCAGCAGTTGAGCATCGACTTAGGATTCAGGAGATTGAGGTTGGATTTCTGGTCAGGGCACATGCCCGGGTCGCGAGCTTGATCCCCAGTCAGGGGCGTGCAGGAGGCTGCTGGTCAATGCTGACTCTCATCATTGATGTTTCTATCTCTTCCTCTCCCTCTCCCTTCCTCTCTGAAATCAATAAAGATATATTAAAAAACAAAACAAAACAAAACACCAAAACTATTTAGCTCTGCTTCCTCCACCATCCTGTGTATTTGAGAAGGGGCCATCTTGCCTGGGCAGTCCTTTGAAAGAGCTGATTTGAATCTGTCCCAGGTTCGGGTGGGATTTTGCCCCACACACCTGGAGGCGCCTGTGCTAACGATAACATTGTGCACCCACAGATTTGGATGTTGGTTCAGAGAAAGTGGATGTACCTGGAAAGCATTTTTATTGGTGGAGACATCCGATCACAACTTCCAGAGGAGGCAAAGAAGTTTGACAACATCGACAGAGTGTTTAAAAGGGCAAGTGATGGGCTCCTGTTTCAGTCTTGAAAGAAGGGGTTGAGATGCTCATGTGTTTCCATGTGGTATTCTGTATGCTCGTAGCTTCTGAGTCTTTTTTTTTTTAAATGTTTTTATTGATTTTTTTAGGGGGAGGGATAGAGAGAGAAACATCAGTGATGAGAGAGAATCATTGATCAGCTGCCTCCTGCACGCCCCCTGCTGGGGATCGAGCCCACAACTCGGGGCATGTGCCCTGGCCCGGAATCGACCCATGACCTCCTGGTTCATAGGTCGACGCTCAACCACTGAGCCACACCATCTGGCATGAATTCTTTCTGTCGTTATGCATGAACTTCATCTGTTCAGTAAAAAATTTCTGTCTGATCTATAGCTGCTGGCATATAGCACTCTTGAGTGTTCATTAATTTTCATTATAAAGGTAATACTTACTTTAAAAAAAAAAAATTGGACAACTGCGATGCTCCTACTGCCCTGGCCTGACCGCCATCCTCTTGGCCTTATCCAGATCATGGCTGAGACCTTGAAAGACCCCGTGATCAAGAGATGCTGTGAGGCCCCGCACCGCCTCTTCGACCTGCAGAACATCAGTGAGGCCCTTGAGAAATGCCAGAAGAGCCTGAACGACTACCTGGATTCCAAGAGGAATGCCTTCCCTAGATTCTTCTTCATCTCTGATGATGAGCTGCTCAGCATCCTGGGGAACAGCGACCCGCTCTGCGTCCAGGAGCACATGATCAAGGTCGGCTCGGCTCTTGGGGGTGTGTGTGTGTGTCCCGCCTCGAGTAGGCTCTGTAATTGCAGTTTGTTCTTCTCACAATTTGGCTCAACCCAGAGGTTTAAGACTGAAATGCTGCTGGGATTTTATTTGAAGCATGAATCTGATGAAATCCACTGTCTTCTGAAATGACACCTGGACTCAGCTGCTCTGTGTTGCTCGTTTTCCACAATCCAAACACCACACTTTTTGAGAAACTCAGAAAAATACATAAATACACAGAGAGTAATAAAATAAGCAGACAGGCAGTGCAGGATAGGGCCTTAGCACATGGACTTGAGCCATGTTGCCTGGTTCAAATCCGGGCATTATGCGGATTTGCTGTGTGACTTTTGACAAGCTACTTAATCTCTGGGCATTGGTTTCCTTACCTGTAAATGGTGATAACCCCAGTAGGTGCTTGCTTCAGTGGAGTTGTTATAAAGATTAAATGAGTTAAGTACTTAGATAGGGGCCTACCTTACAATGTTGGCTAAATAACCTTATCGGCCACCCAGAATTGGCGCTTGGTTACTGTTGGATCGTATTTACTTTGTCTCTTTTTGAAGTTAAAATCAAACAGATAAAGTTGACACACTCTTTGTCCCCTCCCCACTCGCAGGCCCCCCACTCTCAGGAGGCAGCCATTGTCATGAATTTGTTGAGATTCCTTCCCGCCCATGTGCTCTGACTGTCGCATAAACGTGTGCACTGTGAACAACACTGAATGGCGGGAGGCACAGCAGAGAAAACCCTCTCTTGTGATAGGGAACCAGAGCAAGGCCAGAAACAGTCTCTGGTCAGCTGATCAGAGCTTTGCATTCAATGTCAGCGGAGAGCAGGGGTTCTCAGCTTCACCTCTACTGGCGGTTGGGCAAGATAGCTCTTTGCTGTGTGTGTGCGCACCGGGGGTGGAGGTCTGGGCTGTCCTGGGCATAGTAGGATGCTCAGCAGTATTCCTGGCCTCTGCCCACTAGACGCCAGAGCATCCCTCTTCAGTTACGACAACCAAAAATGTCTCCTGACATTGCCCATTGTTCCCCAGGGGCATCATCTGTGGCTTTGAACCAGCCCTGAAGAGTAATTTCTTTATTTCAGGTAAACAAAGCACTAGGATTGAATGCTTTACTGTGTACTTCCTCTAATTAGTGCCGATTTCCTTCTTAAAGTCAGAGTCAGAGTTTCAGTTGCATGTTTTCCTTTCTCAAGGGGAGGCTTTTCTTCTCTCTTCGCCTTTATAAGCAGTACTTCACTGCTATGGAAAACTGCGTTGTTAGAAGTACTTCATCTGCTGTAACCCCTTTTGCAAACCTCTGATTCTGTTCTTTGAAGGCTGTTGCATTGTCTTCCTCCTCTCTGGTTCGCAGAGCCCCTGTTGTGTATATTGGGCCCTGAAAGCTACATTTTCCCGAATATTATCTGATGAGTAACAATGACGACAGCCAACGAACGGCAAAGGTTTCACACGCTGTTTGATTTGATCCTTCCAGCCTCATCTCGTGAGGGCCATAACTTGTTTACTCCAGGCTGGGAGAGGAGAAGCCGCTTGCCCGAGTTACGCAGGTGGAGGCGGGGAAGTGACTTTCACCCACAGACCTCTCACTCTTCAGCCTTGGCGTGTAATCCCCAGGCCCTGCCCTTTCCGGTGTCCAGCTCATCCATGTGTCCAGATGCCCCTCCAAACAGCACGTACTTTAGAATCTCAAGTATAGGGAAGGAGTCTGTCTTCTTTTTCTTTCTTTTTAACCCACCACAGACCTTTGCCTAGTGCAGGGTAAATGGAAGCACCCCGTGTGTGCATCTGCCCAGTGAGCAAACACTCAGGCAAATGGACATCCAGTTCCCTGTGCCTCTGGCAGCTCCTTGTGTGACAAGCTCCGCAGGCTGCTCTTTGGTTCCAGAACTGAGTGGCAGCACCACAGAGTGGCCCCTCTTGCTGTGTTGCAGATGTTTGACAACATTGCCGCGCTGAGGTTCAACGACGGGGACAGTGGGGAGAAGCTCGTGTCCGCCATGATTTCCGCCGAGGGCGAGGTCATGGAGTTCCGCAAGATCGTGCGGGCTGAGGGGCGTGTGGAGGACTGGATGACAGCAGTCCTGTATGAGATGCGGAAAACGAACCGGCTCATTACCAAGGAGGCCATTTTTAGATACTGTGAGGACAGAAGCAGGTAAGGTTGCTCGTGGGAACATGTTGCTCCATCATTAACAGTTGTGATGGATCGGTGTTCAGGGTTTGGGATAGACTGACGTTTCAGATGAGGTCTTCTTTTCTTGCAACATCTGTCTTTAAAAGATCACCTGGTTCAGCAGTACTTCTCCACGTGCAGTCCCTGAACTGACAGCATCAGGGGCCCTGGGAGCTTATTAGAAATGCAGATGCCTGGGCCCCAACCCACACCTGCCCCATCAGAAACTTGGGGAGCCCAGGAATGTGTCCTTTTTAAACAGGATTCTGAGCACAGTCAAGTGTGAGAACTACTAACCTAGTGGTTCACTGGAAACCTGGTGTTGGTAAGGTTGACTCTGGGTACAGGTTAATGAGTAGAGTCGTCATTATAATGTTTAATGAATTTCAGTCTCCTTGGTCTTTGTGTCTGAGAAGCGTGCAGGGTTGAGCCAGGCCTGATCCCAGGTGCTCAGAGGCAGTTGAACTCCAGGACAGGACGAGCCTTTGGGTGACTTGTTCTATTTACTAGACATAGGCGGGGGGTTCCCAGGAACATTGTGGTATATTTGGCAGGGCCCTATGCAGACACTAAATTCTTATTATCATTACAAGAACACTCTTTTGATTTTTTTACGTGACCTTTCTGATTATGAAAACCAAAAGTGCCTGTTTCAATAAATTGTTAGGACCCAGTATAATAGTTGGATGATTGTGAGCCTGCTATTTCTTAGGTACTATGATATATAAAAAAGTTGGTTTACATCTTTATGTAATCAAGTTATATAGAGATATTCAGTGGTGTCCTGCTAAACTGGCTGTCTAAAAAAGAAAGCTTTGACTTAGAACATCTGCCCATTCACAGGGTGTAAATACTCCTCCCATGGCTGATTTCAAAGCTAAGTGGAATATAATCACGGTAAGTGGTTTAGCAGCCGTCTTGCAAAATTCCTGACTGTTTGACAGCTCTCATAAGCTGATAGGAGGTGGCCTCGTACATTATTGGCTATATTCATTCAACCAATATTTTGTGGCCCCTTGGTCTGGGCTGATCACTGTGCCAGATGATATTCAAAAGCTGAACTATACAGAAACTACTGCCCTTCAGGTGTAGTGAGAGAAACATTGATGTGAGAGAGACACATTGGTTGCCTCTCACATACACACACCCGACCCGGAGCAGGGATTCTGCAACCCAAGGGAGGTGCCCTTGACCGGGAATTGAACCCGCCACCCCTTGTTCCGCGGGCCGATGCTCTAACCACTGAGACACATGGGGCAGGGCCTGGCAGAAGAGTTACACTGTCGTGCACTTGCCTGAAGGTGTTAACTCTGTCTGCCCTATGCCGGATCCAAGAGACAGAGTCTTCACGGGACTGTGTTTGGTTCCTGGCTACAGTCACAAAGGTGTGCTCTCCTTTAGAGTCGACTGGATGCTCCTGTACCAGGGGATGGTGGTGCTGGCCGCCTGCCAGGTGTGGTGGACGTGGGAGGTGGAGGATGTCTTCCACCGAGTACAGGCAGGGGAGAAGCAGGCCATGAAGAGCTATGGCAAGAAGATGCACCGGCAGATCGACGAGCTGGTCACACGGATCACCAAGCCCTTGAACAAAAATGACCGGAAGAAATACAACACGGTTCTCATCATTGATGTACATGCCAGGGATATCGTGGATTCTTTCATCAGGGGCAGGTGCAGGCCTCCCCACATGTCCCTTAGCCTCCTTGGCCTCTCACTGTTTCCCCTGTCCCCTTCGCATCCACCTTTTCTCCCGCCACCTCTGCCTCCCTCTTCACTCACCCCCTATGTCTCTCCTCCCAGCATTCTCGAGGCCCGGGAGTTCGAATGGGAAAGTCAGCTGCGCTTCTACTGGGACCGAGAGCCGGATGAGCTGAACATCCGCCAGTGCACAGGGACCTTTGGCTACGGCTACGAGTACATGGGGCTGAATGGAAGGCTGGTCATCACGCCACTCACCGACCGGATTTACCTGACTCTGACACAGGTGATGCAGTCGGGCTGTGTGGTTGTCATTTGCCTTTGGTCGTGTGTTTCCCTCAGCATGACTGTGGTACTTGGCTGACCAGTGTCTTCCCCAACGTTCACGTCTGTTGGAACCTCAGAATGTGACCTTGCTCAGAAATAGGGTCTTTGCAGATTTAACTCCTTAAGGACTGGGATGAACACCCTGGATTAGGGCCCTAAACCCAGTGACCCATGTCCTCTTCAGAAGAGGAGAGGACACAGGGCTTCAGGGCAGGTGGTATGAAGATAGAGGCAGGGATCAGGCTGAAGAGGCCATGGGCCACGCAGCGCAAAGCATTTCTCCCGAGAGTCTAGAGGGAGCGGGGTCCTGCCTACACCTGGACTTCAGGCTTATGGCCTCCAGACTGTGAACAAACACTTAGAGGTCAGGTCCTAGGATCTGGAGATAAAGGGCCAAGCTTTTCTCTTGCAAAGATGACTTTTTACTGCACAGATGTGCGTGTGTCCCTAAGCCTCAACTCTGGGCATGGCTGGGGCATTGTCCTCAGGGCAGGCACAGCCTCCAGCATGGCATTCAGTCCCCGATACACTGGTCCCTTTTAGTGGGCAGAGGGGTCAGTGAGGTTCATGGAAAAGCAGAAATGTTAAAAATGGTGACTGTCGGAAAAGGTGAGTGTGAACCTGTCCATTGTCGTGTGTGTGTGTGTGTGTGTGTGTGTGTGTGTGTGTGTGTGTGTATCCCACATGTATCATCATGGTGCTAAGCTGGGAAGTGACAGCTGTCTTCTTACAGGAGTCAGACATGTGTTTTGCATTTGGCTTCTAACAGGCACTGTCCATGTATCTGGGCGGGGCCCCTGCTGGCCCAGCAGGTACCGGCAAAACCGAGACCACCAAGGACCTGGCGAAAGCCTTGGGCTTGCTCTGTGTTGTAACCAACTGTGGCGAAGGCATGGACTACAAAGTAAGGCCTCGGCGTCCCTTTTGGTACCTTCTCATTGGACAGAGAGTAAGAGTGGGCACGGCAGGAAGGCACTCACCCCACATGCTTCCACACAGTGGCAGAGACACCTGGAGGGGTACTGGAGAAACCTCTCCCTGCCGGTCTCAGGACTCACATGTGTCTGCTTTGTTAGCAGTGTGTAGAGCCAGAGTCTTGAACTTAAATGCCCACCAGAGTCAGGTAGAGAGTGAGTAAAGTAGCTGACAGTCAGTAGAGCATGGTGAGGACTGTGGCCCACTGAGAGCACTGCTCGGTCTAAGAGGGCCACTGTTTAGCTCTGGCTACTTATTGCCACTTGGAAAAGTGGACCCAGTGTTGCTGGATTCTCTAGTATTTGAAGAAAACTCCAAAAATCTGGAGTTTCCCATGAAAATTCTTAATTTGTAAAATCCTGCGAGTGGGAGCTGGCCCATGAGGGGCCTTGGAAAGTCTTGCCAGGAAGATCCATTAGTGGGGAGGCTGGCTGGTTCTCTCTGGTCCATCTGAAGAGTGCTTTAGTTTAGAAAATGTCTTCATCACTGTGTCACTTGTCATCATAAAGATGAAAGTTGCCCTTTTCCTGACATTTGTTGTAGGCCGTCGGGAAGATTTTCTCTGGCCTCGCGCAGTGTGGGGCCTGGGGCTGCTTTGACGAGTTCAATCGCATCGATGCCTCCGTGCTCTCGGTCATCTCGTCTCAGATTCAGACCATCCGAAATGCTCTGATGCATCAGCTCACCACGTTCCAGGTGAGGCACCGTGTGAGGGCCCCCCGGCCACGTTCCCAGGGTGGACGCTTGCCGGATTACCTTGGAAACATCAGACAGGGCTCTTTCCAGACCAGGCTTCCCATAGATGAAGAGCTGAAGGGTGTTGTTTTCAAACTGAGATGGTTGGGTTTCCCAAAATTGTCAGCAACTTGGATGACTGAGGACTCGAACGTTCTCTAAGAATGTCAGATGAGCTCCAGGTATATACAACTAGTAGTTATGGGCAGGTAGAGCAGTGCTCTCAAAGGCGTGACGTTCTCTAAAGGGAAAAGACATTCTTAGTAACTTCCCATGTTTGAGAAAATTAACATTCCAGTAAACCAAAATGTCTTCAGTAGAAATTACCACAGTGCACAGAAACTCCACCTTCACACCTGGTGAAGTTAGCACATGCTGTTGAGCAGGGTTTTTAACGTTACCAAGTGAAAAGGCAAATTTTTAAAAATTCTGAGAATTCCCTAATCTCACCTGGTCCAAGACTACATCTGTAGACTTGCATTTGAGACAGCTGCGTTGAGTGACATCACATTAATTGGATCAGAGTTCGGGGAAGTGTGGTTTTATATAATTCAGGTAGCCCAGAGATGGGGTCTCTGACAACAGAGCTGGCCCATTGTCCGCTCTGGGGTCCTCTCTGATATCCACATGAACGAATGGTGCCCTCACGTGTGATGTCCCATTTTCTCCACAACCTGGCAGAAAAGGAAACTGACACTCAGAGAGATTTAGTGACCTGTTGGGGATCACACAACACCTCGAATCAGCCCCAGGCTGCACTCCTTCCTGGCATCAGATGCTTCTCAAGTGGAGAGACCTTTGATCCAGATCAGATTGGGGTCGGCTGAGGCTTGTCCCCAGAAACTCAGGCCACAAGCACAAGGACCGCCTTGTGCCCATGGGAATGAATAGCCTCACTGCCCCACAAGCCTCCTCTCCCCGGGGGTGGGCTGGCCGGACACCTGACCCCTCCTTTCCTGTCGTCCTTCAGTTTGAAGGGCAGGAGATCTCGCTGGACTCACGGATGGGCATCTTCATCACCATGAACCCCGGCTACGCGGGCCGCACGGAGCTGCCCGAGTCGGTGAAGGCGCTCTTCAGGCCGGTGGTGGTGATCGTGCCTGACCTGCAGCAGATCTGTGAGATCATGCTCTTCTCTGAGGGCTTCCTGGAGGCCAAGGTGAGCCCACCTTGGCCCACTGACAGCGAGGATGCCTTGGTCCCTGCCCTGCTGTCCCTGCCCTGCAGCTGCCCTCACGGGATGGCAGGTGTTTCCGTTCTGTGTGGCTTTTACACATTTTCTGCTTTGTCTCTCTCCTCCCTCTCTCCTTAAAATTTTAACTTTTATTTTGTAACAGTTTGACTCCTATGAAGTCACAACAATGGTACAGAGCTCCCGTGTGCACCTCATGCAGCCTCCCCCAGAGGCAACACCTCATCTCACACCTGCTGATGCACGTTGTCAAAACTGGGAAACTGAGGCAGCACCTTAAATAAATACACACACACACATCTCCTTTATCGTCGCTCAAACTGTACAAACAATAGGCACATGTGTTTTTTAGAAGATTCTGGAGAAGGTACAAAACAGCAGCCACTTTCAACATGAAGGGTTGTTAGGTTGCGTGTCTTCGTGTTTGAAAAGGCTTTTTTACTCCATTATGTGGTCCAGGTTTCGAGCTACAGTGATGAGATCTCTGGTTCTTGGTTTTTGTGAGAGGAATCCCCACGTCATCCTTAGTGACCGGCAGGCCGAAACCTGGGTGTGGACTAGGGGGCTGAGAGGTCCTCAGACACGGTTACAGGAGAAGGTTTCATAATGTGTTTACGTAAAAATAAACAGGAGGCACGTTTCTGGAGTGTGACTGGCAGGGTTTGAAATGCTGGATGGATTCTAGTCTGTAAATGATGGTGGTCAGGGTCTTCCTCAGCTGTCAGGGACAGGCCTGAGTTGAGCCAGGCTGGTCTCCTTTTAAATGAGCTCCTGATTTGGCCTCGTTACAAGCAAAGGACCCATCCTGGTATTTCTGTTAGAGGCAAGATTTGCTCGTGTGTAGAGCAGCTTCATCTGAACACCTCTGCTCATTTTCTTAATTTTTTTCATCTTTTCTCCTAAAAGACTCTGGCCAAGAAGATGACTGTCCTGTACAAGCTGGCCCGGGAGCAGCTCTCCAAGCAGCACCATTATGACTTTGGACTCAGAGCCCTGAAGTCGGTGCTAGTGATGGCTGGCGAGCTGAAGAGGGGCTCTTCCGAACTTAAAGAGGTGGGGCCCCGGTGTGTAACCAGCACCCGGTGGGCCGGAGGGCAGTAGCACCATCCCCACAGGGTTTCAGTCTTAGCTGCCATCTCATTCGGTTGTCTGGCCTTAATTTGATCTCTTTTCTTCTAATTTGACCTATTAGTCTAAGGTCAAGTTCAGCGTCTTCACAGAACCAAAGTGTGTGATGTTTCAACGGTAATAGTGAGTCCATCGTTGAAGGGTGCAGGGGTGGGACGAGCAATTCTTCAAAAGCAGGAACATGAGTTATATGTGTGTGTTTTTAACCCTCACTCAGGGATATTTTTCCATTGCTTTTCAGAGAGAGTGGAAGGGAGAGAGAGAGAAACATCGATTGGTTGCCTCCCGCATGCACCCCGACCAGGGCCAGGGATCGAGCCTGAAACTGAGGTACGTGCCCTTGACCAGAATCGAACCCGGGACCCTTCAGTCCACGGGCAGACGCTCTAACCACCCTGGCCAGGGCCGACCATGAGTTTTTTCCTCTTTGGGATGAGAGCGAGAGGTGGGATTGTGTTTCTTTCCCACAGAACTGACCTACGTTACGAGGCAGTTCAACCAGCAACGTGCCTGGTTTCTCAAGAGGCCGCGCTCGAAACGTTTTATATGAAGCTTCACTCTGTATTTTGTGAGAGGGTTTCTGGACCGGCCCCCAGGTCTCTGGGACACATCCTGGGAGACGTCTGTGTTGTCCCATCCAGGACGTGGTGCTGATGAGGGCGCTCCGGGACATGAACCTGCCCAAGTTTGTCTTTGAAGATGTCCCCCTGTTCCTCGGCCTGATCTCCGACCTGTTCCCGGGGCTAGACTGCCCGCGGGTGCGCTACCCCGACTTCAACGACGCCGTGGAGCAGGTGCTCACGGACGGCGGCTTCGTTCTCCTGCCTGTGCAGGTACGAGGTGCCGAAGGCCAGAGTTCGTGGCTCCTGGGGCTTTCCCTCTTTTCCCCAGTTATTTTATTTTAACTGTGGCAAAGGACAGGTAACATCAAACTTAGCATCTTGACCAGTTTCAGTGTACACTTCAGTGGTGTTCACAAGCACATTCACGTTGCTGTGCCACCATCCCCACCACCCATCTCAGAACCGTCTCATCTCCCCAAACAAAAACACTAAGCCCCGTCCATTTCTTCAGCAGCCCTGAGAACACCGTCCTGCGTTCTGTCCACGAACTGACTCCTCTCAGTTCCTTACATAAGTGGAATCGTACGACCTATGTCCTGTGTCTGCCGTACTTCACTGAGCATAATGTCCCCACTGTTCATCCATGTCACAGCAGGTGTGAAGACTTCCTTCCTTGTGGAGGCTGAACAATATTCCATTGGATGGATGGACCAGCTTCCAGTTTTATGTTTGTTTTTAAATATCTTTATTGATTTTAGAGAGAGGAAGGGAGAGGGAGAGAGAGAAACATCAATGATGACAGAATCAATCAGTGGGCTGCCTCCTGCACTCCCCCAACTGGGGATCGAGTCCACAAGGAATTGAGCTGTGACCTCCTGGTTCGTAGATTGATGCTTAATGACTGAGCCACACCAGCCAGGCAGAATTATACACCTTTAATGGATAAATTGTATAGTATGTGAATTATAGCTCAATGAAGCTGTTTAAAAAAAAAAGATGTTTTAACCTAGCTGTAAATCTTATCCCGCAGGTGGATAAAGTTGTCCAGATGTTCGAGACCATGTTAACCCGCCACACGACAATGGTGGTGGGGCCCACGGGCGGGGGCAAGTCCGTGGTCATTAATGCTCTGTGTCAGGCCCAGACCAAGTGAGTGTGAGCTCTGTGGGGAGGCCTAGGGGCTGGGGTGGTTGTCCCATGAGGTTGGTGGTGTTACCTGTCCTGCATTGTGCTCTGATTTCCCCGGAGGTTAAATTTGTCCTAAACACCCCTTTGAACTCATCACATCTTTACTTCTCTCATCGTGGGTTTACTTAACGTATTTTAGAAGGTGAAACAGTGACTCTTTTGTGCATCGGACCGTGAGTGGGTTTGTGAAATGAGTACTTCACAGACTGTCTTATGAGGCCATTTCAAAAGTTAGCTTAAGTCAGGGCTCCCACCATTATGCAACACTTATGACATTAGAGTTTCCAGAAAGAGAGTCGCCTCCTGAAACACCTTACCATCATAGCCCTGCGGGAGTGATGCCCCTGGAGGGAAAGGTTACCTCATGTCCCTAACATAGAATGACATGAAGGCCTGTGGTGACTTGATGTCCTCACAGTGAAAATGGGTTTTCTGACTTCTCACTTTCGTCCTAAGCAATAACTAGATTCTGGGAAGACTTCAGTGCACACTGATATTCCAGCAAAACTCAAACCAAGCCTCGCAGTCTTTGGGGCTCTGACATTTCTAGATAGTCAAGAAATGTAGTGAGTGATGACCATTTCTTATTTCTTCTGTGTTTCTTATGAGAGACCGAGGGGACAGTGGCCTCCTGATTCTAAGTGAGTCATGCCACAGCCATCTGAAGTTCATTCTTTTGTTAGTTCATTGCTAGGTAATGTATAGGACCATCATGTGTGTGTCCACGTGTGCTGCTGCTGTTCTTATTTATGTATTTGGTCACTTATGAACTATGGTTTGTGTATACTTTAGTTTTCTGTAGATGAACTGATCTCATAGCATTGTGGGAACTCACAGGCATGTTAGCGGGGAGCACCCTGTCCACGTGATTTATAAAGTCAACACAAAGCAGATGTCATCCTTTCAGTACAAGGGATTAGATGCTAGGAGCTCAAAGTCTTGAAAGGTGGTTCCCTTGCATTGAATGGGTTTGTGAAATGAGGGGAGAGAGTGTGGACTGTGTTTTAAATCCGGGTTAGATGGAAAACACCGAATCCTCACACTGCGGCCAAGATTGGTTTCCTGCACGTTCAGTCCCGCTGAGGCCCCTTCTCTAACCTAGGCTGGGACTGACAACGAAGCTATACATCCTGAACCCCAAGGCCATGAGCGTCATCGAGCTTTACGGCATCCTGGACCCCACCACCCGGGACTGGACGGATGGGGTGCTGTCCAACATCTTCAGGGAGATCAACAAGCCCACAGATAAGAAGGAGCGGAAGTGAGTGTCTGTGGTTGGGAGAGAGCCTGCCTTATTTCTTGCCAATCAGCCGAGCGCGCTGAATAGGCAGAAGACAGATAGCACCCTGCACTCTGTGTGAAGGACAGTCAGGAATGTAATAACTGCGTATGGTGCCAGGTGGGCACCAGACCTATCGGGGGATTACGGTGTAAATTATATAAGCGTGTAACCGCTGTGCCGTACACCTGAAAGGAATCTAAAACGATACTGAGCTTTTAGCTATAATTGGAAAATAAAGGGAGTGGCACTTTCTGTCCCTGAGGTAGACTGTGACACTTTTTCCTCAAGGGGCACTGGCAGGTTGTTCCCACTTTCCCAGCAGGAATGCAGGTCTGCATTGTCAGACATTCCCACTGCCGCTGATTCTTGAATGTTGGTGACTAACTTAGACAGTTCTTATGTGTTTTCCCCCTGTTTTATCTTATGGGTGAAACCTGTGGACCAAGCAGGGTGCTGTGTCTCAGGCCTGGCAAGACAACCCTGGGAAGGGGCGTGCAGCAGGAACGGTGGGGGGAGTCCCTCTGGGTTCCACAGCTGGAAGCTCCCTCGGACTCAGGGCTCACTCTTTTTTGGTTGCTGCAGGTACATCCTGTTTGATGGCGATGTGGATGCCCTGTGGGTGGAGAACATGAACTCCGTGATGGACGACAACCGGCTGCTGACCCTGGCCAATGGCGAGCGCATTCGGCTGCAAGCACACTGTGCCCTGCTCTTCGAGGCAAGTAGCAGGAAAACCATTTTGAACATGAGTCTTGCTTTTCATTAAAATTTTAAGTCTTTATTAAAGTGGGAATAAATATAGAGGGTTGTAGGAAACCCATACAGTGCAGAAGAATGTAAGGTGACTACAACTCAAACCCACCTGCTCCCTTCCCTCGTCCCGTTTCACGGCATCACCTGGTGTCTGTAAGTAACACACTTGGCAAGCTCTCTCGACATGTATCAACTTCACTTTACCTATCATCTGTTGACTGATACCATCAGCCCACCTCTCCTCCTCAAAACTACTGTATCACTAAGTCAGTTAAACCAGTGAGCAGCATTTACATCATTATGACTGGAAATCGTTACCGCAGAGCCGACTAATGCACTGCGATCACATTTACTTTCTTTTATACACTTTTTTTTTTTTTGGTGGCCTGGAGTTTGTTATTGCTTTGCTTTTTCTCTCTTATTGTTTGCTTGTATCTTACCTTTATTTGTTTTTTTCAAAATTTCTGTCATAGCCTCTGAGCCTATTTCACAGCCCTGGGCCTGAGACTTGCTCTCACTTTAGTTTCACGCTAAGACCATTCCAACTTGTCCTGCAAAACTTGTCTGTGCCTGCGTACGTGTGCATGGCATCGTCTTGTTGGCTGAGTAAACCGCAGCTTTTTTTCATGGAGAGAGGTGTGTGTGAATACTTCTGCTTTAGATGCTGGTCATTAAGTTTTATGCTACCTAGCGTCGACTTTGTTTAAAAAAGACTAAAAGGTGAACACTCCATAACAACGTTTGTTTCTTGGTGGTGGGATTTTGGATTAAGCTTATTTTTGTCTTTATACTTTCTTTTTTTGTCAAGTATTCTACAGCCTGTTAATTCTCACATTAATTTTACAGTAATAGAAAACTTTAAAGGGTGCTACATCAGAGATGCATAATCCTCCCATGATAAACCTTAAGTGTTCAGTTAGAGGCCTCACGAGAGCTATGTTATCTGAGTATGACTTGGGTTTCATGCAGTTGTAAAAAACTTGGCACAAGCAAAGGCATTTAAGCACGTGGTGGAGTTGTTCACAGCTGCAGACCAGGCTGATTTTCTCTGTTTCCCCAGGTTGGAGATTTGCAGTATGCTTCTCCTGCGACCGTGTCTCGATGTGGAATGGTCTACGTGGACCCTAAGAACTTGAAATACCAACCATATTGGAAGAAATGGGTCAAGCAGATACAAAACAAGGTGAAAGTTATTTCTGAAATGAGCTTACAGGTATTGGCATTGGTGGCTGGTTGGACAAACAACCTAGACAGATGTTTGTAAGTTGGAGGCCGTGACCTTGACTGTGACCTATTCATGACCTGGAGCACTTAAAGTTACCAATAAATAACATGAAAACATGGAAGACACACTTCCTGGGTTTCCAGGTAATTTACATCCAGTGAGATAGTGATTTTGATCTAGGCCAGGGGATGGATGACACTTTTTTTTTTCTGTAAAGGGGGTACGCAATTCCCCCCAAGAAGCCCGGGAGGAGCGTGATGGGACCATCTGAGGTGCTGTCACACGGGAGAGAGAGCTGGCGGTCAATGGTACCTCACTGGGGAGAGCGAGGGGCCTCCCACTGCTTAGCACTCTGCTGGGTGAGGATGGTCACACCACTTGAACTCTAAGACAACTAGCCCCTTTTCTGTCAGATGGGACCTGTTATCCCACTTCCCTCCCCAGTGGCGGGATAGTGTCTGTGGCAGTGAAAGGAGCTGCTTTGTGATGGAATGAAAGTGTATTTCACTTTCATCAGTGTTTCTCTCCCTCATTCCCTCTCCATTCCTCTCTGTAAAAATAAAAAAATATTTTTTAAAGAGTGTACTGGAAAACAGAAACTCCTCTACGGATGTAAGGCTCTGCTGTCGGAGTCAACTCCCCTGCCACATTTGTCCTTCATGAGGGATGTTTCTCACCCCTGTTGACAAGGAAAGCTGGACACTAGCTTCCCTTTAAACAAAGGAGGCCTTGGAAATGCCTTGGAATTCTTCCTCCTACAGGCGGAGCAGGGCGACTTACAGAGCCTCTTTGAGAAGTATGTGCCCTACCTCATGGATGTGATCATGGAGGGGATAGTGGACGGGAGACAGGGAGAGAAGCTGAAGACCATAGTTCCTCAGACAGACCTAAATATGGTGAGAAATGGTCTCTGCTGGCAAAGAGAAAGCCTTCCCCAGAGATGAACCCGCAGTGGGCTTTAGGGGAAGAAGCAAAGGTGCCAGGTGGGTACACAGGTTATGACAAGACACACACTTTCTGTGTGGCCCTGGGCAAGGTAAGCGCCGTCTGTCTGAACCGTTACCACTGGTCATGTGTTCCCATCACGCTTAGTCTGGGATCCCGGGGTCTAGGACCAGAGTCGACCCTGGATGTATGTGGGGGCAGGGGGTATGGTCACTGACTCAGGAATCTTCCTGTGGACCAGGTGACCCAGTTAACCAAGATGTTGGATGCATTCCTGGAAGGAGAGATAGAGGACCCTGACCTCCTTGAGTGCTACTTCTTGGAGGCCCTGTACTGCTCACTGGGCGCCACGCTGCTGGAGGAGGGGCGGCTGAAATTCGATGAGTGTATCAAGCGCCTCGCTTCCTTGCCTTCCGCTGACACGGAGGGGGTCTGGGCCATGCCCGGGGAACTGCCAGGTGGGAACCCAGTGTTGCCCATCTTCCTGCTCAGAGTATCGTAGGCTAGGTTTTTGGAGGGCGCGGCCTTGCATATGTGTGTTGGGGGGTTTCCCAGCTTGTTTGCCCCTATAGAGGAGTGCGCAGGGGTCAGAGCACCTGCTGGTACCCCCAGGAAAGGTGCAAATGGTGTGTATCTGTCTGGAGAGTGATAGTGTGAGCTCTGAGTTCTCAGTGAGGTTGCTGCCTGGGGGACAGGTGGCATTAGTTCATTTCAAGCAAGTTCCTGCTGGAGCCGATTCTGTGTTTCCATGTCTGTGATCGAAGTGATGTGGACTTGTATTTCCCACAGCTCAACTCCCTACCTTGTATGACTTCCATTTCGATCCTGCACAGAAGAAGTGGATTCCCTGGAGTAACTTAGTCCCAGAGTACATTCACTCCCGCGAGAAGAGGTTTATTGAGATCCTGGGTAAGTGAGCACCAAGCCTATTCCGTGGCTCTGAGTCCCACCCAGAGGGCTGATGGGAGAAACTGAGGAGAGGGAGACGTGGGCCCTGCCAGGAGGGTGGCACTTTTTATTCCTTCCAGGGCTGCCGGCTCTGAGCATCTTAAGACGTCTGTGACTCTCGGCTCCTTCCCCAGGCAGGCGGGTCCTGAGCAGTGGGCCAGGATGGGTGGGGTGCTGCTCCGATTCCCGCACATTTCCACGGACTCCCTTCGTCCTACGGTGCTGCCTGGGTGTGGGAAGGAAGGGACAAGAAAACGGACAAGGCAGCGTTTTGTAAGAGGCGCTGCCTTAAGGAGTCTTGCTCCACTGACGGTTATCTGTTGAGATTTGTTTTAAATGCACCCCTCTGGCTACTTAGATCACAGAGAGGCTGAATATTTTTACAAAATCAGTGTCCAGTGTTGGCTCTTGCAGAGTGAGGCGCACCTGTATGCTCGGGAACCGATCGAAGTTAAAAACTGCCTGTGTGGGAGTGAGCCAGACCCGACCTGGAGGGCTTATTTCTCTTCAGAGGACGTTGGTCAGGAAACCAGATGCTGCAGATGTGTGGGTAGCGTAGGCAGCAGGGAGTCCCAGTCTAACATCCCCAGTGCAAGTCAGACTTGGGCTCCGAGGCGTCCGGCTGTGCTAAGTAACCAGCTAAGTAACAGCTGCAGGAATGCCTCAGCCTCGGGAGCCACGCCCTTACAGTGGTGGACTGGTGTGTAGACCCTGCCTCCATAGAGCTGTTAGAGTAACGGCTGGGGAAGTGAGCTTCTAAGAAGACTTCACCCATCTATACATCTTTAAGGTCACATCTCAGGCTTTTGCTGACACTTTTTATGCGTTTTCTGGGAGTCTGAAACTCCAGGCTATTGTGTGCCCGCCCTCTGGTGTTTTTGTGACACTCTCGCCCATAATGTGTCCCGCAGTTCACACAGTGGACACGACCCACACCACCTGGATGCTGGAGCAGATGGTGAAGATCAAGCAGCCTATTCTTCTGGTTGGTGAGTCTGGCACCTCGAAGACAGCCACCACCCAGAACTTCCTCAAAAACCTGAGCGAAGACACCAACGTAAGTCTGTACTTGTATCGGCCATCTAGCACGGAGGCGGCAGAGTGCCAGCCGGGCTTCATGGCAGCCTCATGAGGGGAGGGCTGGGCTGCACTCCTGTGGAGAGGCGAGTTCACTCACCCAGGCATGCAAACATGGGATACTGAGCTTTAAGGGTGTCATTACAGAGGGCACAGAGGGCTGTTTACAGCAGAGGGAGCTACAGGTTTGTGGAGTCAGGCAAAGAGAGGCTGCATTCAAAAGTGTCCCCCCCCCACTGCCCCTCTGCCAGGACTTGGCCGCTGGTGCTCTCTGGCCCAGCAAGGCACATCTGCACACGTTCACGGTCAGGAGGCTTCATCCAGCCTCTGCATGGTCAGCTCATGTGCACATGCATTCAGGCACCTTAGTTGGAGGGTGTGGCCAAGGTAGGGGTCCTCCAGACCAGCAGCAGCCCCTTAACAGTTGCTCAACCACCCCAGACCTACCGAATCGAAACTCTGAGAATGGGGCCTGTCACGTGGTGTGGCACAAGTCCACCAGGCCGTTCTGATGCCTTGAGTGTGCAGATCACTGATCTGTGGACTCAGCACTTGCTCTAAGAAGTACAGGGAGAGGCCCTGAGTCCCCATGCACAAGGATGCGCTCCCCACACGGGGACCCGGGGCCTCCCTCCCATTCCCCCCAGCAGGTAGTTCCAGAGACGGAACCAGTGGTGGTTCACCCTTGGGACCTGTTTATGAAGACACGGCAGGCATGATGGGAATGTGCGTTCAAATGTTGCTTTGTCATGTTGCAAATGCCGTGGTGCACTTTGCCTTACGATACAATCACTCTCTGAAGGAGTCCAAGCAGGTGTTATTAAAATTATCCCTCAGATGAGAAAAACCAGGTCCAGAAAAGCTAACGACTTTCTGGAGGTCACCTAACTAGAGCTGAGCAGAGCCAAGACCTGCCCCACCCCCATCTGCGTCTGCAAGGCTCACAGGCGGCAGGCCTGCCAGAAGGGCAGAGGAGTTCTTGCTTCAGCACTTAGAAAAGAGTGAAGAGCAGACACTGGTTACAGACGAGTTAGTTCAGATATCAGTGAGTCTGTAAAGGAGACAGTAGCTTATGGTCACGTACTGACCGCCGGCCGGTATTCTGCGGAAGAGGGTAGGTTCTGGAATCATCTCCCTGTTTCAGATTGTGTTGATGGTCAGTTTCTCCTCCCGCACCACGTCCCTGGACATCCAGAGAAACTTAGAGGCGAATGTGGAAAAGCGAACCAAAGACACATATGGCCCTCCAATGGGGAAGCGCCTCCTGGTGTTCATGGACGACATGAACATGCCAAAGGTAGGGGCGGAGTGAGGGGCGGGACCCGGTGTGTGCTCGCCTGTGTGTGTGTGTGTGTGTGTGGAGAGAGTGGGTGTGGTAACACCTGTCTTTACTCTGCATGATGTCTGCGGGGCATGGTTATGGGGAGTGAGCTTGGGATTCAGTGTTACTGGATGCTCTTCTCACACTGAGGGACCCTTTTCTTAGTGGCGACATTCCTCGGTTTCTTAAAAGATAAAAGCAGGCGGAAGTCAGCCTCTGAACTATGCCCAGCATGTGTTTGAGTGTCAGCCCTGGATACATGGGGAGCATAAGGGCAGACACTTCCCAAGAATGCTTCTGGATTTTCCAAGGAAGGGGGGGAACTTAACATACGTTATGGGCGTGTTCCAGGGGCCAGAGCCGGAGAGCTGCAAAGTTTCTTAGTACTGGAATTTAAATTTTGTATCATTTCTACAGAACCATTTTTTCCTGAAAATCTATTTTCCAGAAAGACTGTGTGCAAAACCAGGATTCATCCATGCATCTGTCTATTCATCCATGTGTCTGGCCATCCATGCATCTATCCATGCATCCCTCCCTCCGTGCATGCATCTCTCCATCCATGAATCTATCCATGCATATATCCATCCACCCGTCCATCCCACCATGCATCCACCCACCCACCCACATACCCACTTATCCGTTCATTTATCTGTGCGTTCATCCATGCACCCACCCACACACCTGTTCATCCATCCTTTCTTGTACCCATCCATTCATCCAATTAACATATGTTTATTGAGCACCTCCTGTGGTACTGGTGCCGTGCAGCAGTCCTTGCCCCTATGGAGCTTGCAGCCTAGTGTGGGAGAAATTACAGGTGGACATGTAATTGGGAACTCAGAAGCCCCTGAGACTGCACCCAGAGTGCTCTGGGAGAGGGAGAGAGGCGGTGGTCAGCAGAGGCACCCCTGGGTTCTGCTGTGGGACTGCGACCGCTCTTTGTCTTCTGAAACCCCGAGGTGGATGAATATGGCACACAGCAGCCCATCGCCCTGCTGAAACTGCTGCTGGAGAAAGGCTACCTGTACGACCGTGGGAAGGAGCTGAACTGTAAGAGTATCCGAGACCTCGGCTTCATCGCTGCGATGGGAAAGGCTGGGGGAGGCCGCAACGAGGTGGACCCGCGGTTTCTCTCTCTGTTCAGCGTCTTCAATGTTCCCTTCCCTTCGGAGGAGTCTTTGCATCTAATTTACTTCTCCATCCTGAAAGGCCATACCTCGGTAACTCGATGTTGATCAGCTGTCCACCTGACGGGACCTCACCATGGGTAGGGATGTCTGAGGGCCAACGTGAGTGTTCCCACAGCAGGCACAGTGCCTACAGCCCATGGGGCTTTTAGGGGCCTGCGAACACACTTCATTTCTTTCAAAACCAGGAGAAAAAGTTAATGTAATCCAGCTAAATTGTATGGCTACATTATGTAACTTACTCATAAAATAGAAAATATTTATGCAGTCATAAAATATCAAATAACATATTTTTATGAAGGGGCCCAGAGACAGAAGCACCTGGTGCCCATGGGAGTCATGGTGTAGCCCTGGGTTACGGCAGGGACTCGAGTTCTGGAGTCAGTCCCCATGCTGTTCCTCAGGCAAGTCCCTGAGCTCCCCTGGGCCCCCCTCCTAAAAATTATGGTAAAAGTCACATTACATGAGATTAGTTATCTTAGCCATTGTAGAGTGTGTAATTCAGTGGCAGGCAGTACATTTCACAGTCATTTACAACCATCATCACCATTTAGTTCCAGGGTATTTTCATTACCCCCAAAGTAGTCATTCCACCCCGTCCTTCCACCTGTGCAGCCACGCGTGTGCTTTCTGTCTGATGGATTTTCCTAATCTGGACACTTCCTGTAAATGGAATCCTGTGACTTGTGGTCTTCTGTGTCTGCCTTCCCTCAGTCAGCATTATGTTCTCAGGGTTCATCCACATGGTGTGTGTGTCAGTGCTCCGTCCTGTTTTGTGGCCAATACGTGTGGATGGACTGTGGTTCACTTATCTACACATCCACAGGTAGACATGGGAGGGCTTTTTCATTTCTCAGGTGTTTCACGAGAGCATTGTGGCTGTGAGTGACACGTTAACACGCTGCACGCTGGCGCTTTACACAGAAATCGTGCAGGACCTGCCCCCAACCCCGTCCAAGTTCCACTACATCTTCAACCTGCGGGACCTCTCGCGGGTGTTTCACGGGCTGGTCATCACCAACCCCGAGCGGTGAGTGTGCTGCCTCTCCGGACCACCCGCAGCAGTGGCTCTTTCTGTTCTTCTCAGGCAGGACTTGCCGACGAATTCCACCAGTCGGCCGGTGTGTCAGTGAATTTCCCGGTGTCTTGTTTACCTTAAACGGCCTTTACCTTGTAAGCCCTTGAGGGTAAAGCAGGCAGGACAGGAGAGGCGGGGGTGTAGGCATGCTGGCATGTGCGTCCCCTGGGGGGACAGCTGTGCTGACCCCTCCGCCTTAGTCCTGAAGCGTGAATTTGCCGTGTGTTCCTTTCACTCCTGTGAGTGAATTGTTTCCAGTTAAAATTGGTTCTATTAGCTGTGTCTTTGGGAGAAGTAAGCACAGAGGACAGCAGGGTTCAAGTCTGGGCATGCACATTTCCTCTCTAAAACTACACTTAGTGTGTATTTACACTAACGTACACTTTAATCTGTAGATTCACATTACGGATCCACATCATATGAGTGGACTGAGGACTTTCCACCAACCCGACCCAACTCTCGGGTGCCCTGGAGATGGCATTTCAGGAGAGGGCAGCTCCGGGTGTTTGGGGTGGAGTGAAGGCTCTTTGCCAGACACCAGAGAAAGCTCCGGATCTGAGGCCAGTGGAGCTGCTCTCAGGAGGAGCTGCTTGCTGGTGGTTCCGATCCTGGTGTTAAACTCATGTATCCCAGCAGCAGGAACCATGCCAGGCACTCGCTCTGTGTTCCGTGGGTTGTTCATGGACAGTGTCCCTCCTCAGCCCTACAGGAGGATGAGCTGTTGGCCGTGGCTCTATGGTTGTCACACTGAGTCTGTGAGCTTCCATTAAAACTCAGTGTTATCCCAGCTTGGGGTAGGACCACAGAGATGCTGTCCTTTCCTGCACCCTGGGGATCCAAGAGCCAGGAGCACCAGCCCCATCTCCTCCGGATGACGCTGTGACTGCCTGTGCTCTTCCGTCACTAGGTTCCAGACGGTGGCCCAGATGGTGCGTGTCTGGAGGAACGAGTGTCTGCGCGTCTTCCATGACCGGCTGATCAATGAAGTGGACAAGCAGCTGGTCAGTGTGTGGGGACGAACTGGCCGATGCGAAACTAACCACTGTAGTCTGCTCTGGGGAAAAGCGCGTGAGACCCCATGTAGCAAATAGACACTAAAAATAGACGTCAGCAGGTAAAGGGGGTGGAGTACACAGTACCTTGTTGCTACTGGGAAACAGAAATTGAACGCAAGTCAGATAACCCTGGTGCATGTTTTTTCCCTGACACGTGTCAACACACGTGTTGTTGGGTTTGGGTCCATTACTGGTCGTCTGCCGTCAGGTACAAGAGCACATAGGAGACTTGGTTACGAAACACTTCAGCGAGGACGCGGAAGTGGTGATGAGGGACCCCATCCTGTTTGGAGACTTCCGGATGGCGCTACATGAGGAGGAGGAGCGCATTTACGAAGACATCCAGGACTACGAGGCGGCCAAGGCTTTGTTCCAGGTGTGTGCGGGGCTCACCTTTTCCATGTCCCGCGGTGCTTGGGAATGACCTGAGGAATTTGTTAAACCTATACCCCTGGTTTCAGCCCCCTGAGAGCCCCTTCATCAGCCCATGGAGGGCCCCAGGGTGCCGTTGCACAGCCAGGTTTGGGAACCACTCATCTGACCCCTGTTCGTCATGTTTGCTTTCACTCACGGTGGAGCCTTGCAGTCAGCGTTGGCTCACTGCCAGCGCCCACAGACCAGCAGTCAGAAACCTTGATTGTTGTTGCTAGACTCAGTTCCATAAACCCACAGGATTTAATTATTCAGCCACTGCAGACACTGGGAAAAGTCTCCTCTATTCTTGACCCCTCCTGGACTAACGGGGAAAGTGTGGGTCTTAGAGCCAGTGACCCTTGAAAATTGCTTCAAATTCAGGAAATTCTCGAGGAGTACAACGAAAGCAACACCAGGATGAACCTGGTCCTGTTCGATGACGCCCTGGAGCACCTGACGCGGGTGCATCGCATCATCCGCCTGGACCGGGGCCACGCCCTGCTGGTGGGCGTGGGCGGCTCTGGGAAGCAGTCTCTGGCCCGGCTGGCCGCCTTCACTGCTGGCTACGAGGTGAGGCGCCCTCTTCCCCAGGCTTTTAAATTTCAGAATTCAGCTTCGTGTTCAGTTTCTTTACACATCTTCCCACAAGTTACCTGGTTGTGAATAAACTCACCAGTGTGGGTGCGCACACGCCCGGTTGTTGCTTGTGTATGTGTTTTCCCGCTTCCTCCTCTGCCTTCCTTCCCTTCTCGTTTCTTGCCTTCCTTTCCTCCCTGGAACTCAGATAACTCATTTTAACAACCTCGGGCATCTTTTAGAACCCCCACTTTTTCTCCACACACATAATCTCATGTGGACAGACCTGTGCTTCCCACACACTCCCCCCCTCCCCCACATGCAGGCTCGGAGTGTCCTGGTTTGTTTGACAAAAAGAGATGTGACAGTTTTCTGTGTCCTGCCTTTCTCACTCAATAGTCTTGTGTGAAAATGGCCTGGGTCACCTGGTTGGGCCCTCTCTCATCCATCATAGACGGCTGCACAACCTGACGGTCCCTGCAGGTGCTCGAGTTCTGCTTCATGGAGTGGTCCCCTCCCTCTGCAGCCGTGAGTTCCCCTCCCCGGCCAGTTGTCTCATGGGACCGCTGTGCTCTGTGTTGGCAGGTGTTTGAGATCCTCCTGAGCCGGGGCTACTCTGAGAACAACTTCCGGGACGACCTGAAGAACCTTTACCTGAAGCTGGGCATCGAGAACAAAATGATGATCTTCCTGTTCACAGACGCACACGTGGCCGAGGAGGGTTTCTTGGAGCTCATCAATAACATGCTCACCTCAGGTACCGACAGGCAGGAACCGGCCAGGTGAGCGGTACTGGCCGGAGCATGACAGGCCATTAGCAGCCCCCATATAAGTCATGACAACCAAAAATGTTCTCAGACATTCCAGTGTCTTGTGGGGGGCAGAATTGCCCCCCGTTGAGAACCCCTGCTTCAATGCTCACGATAACCCTCCCAGGTAAGCAGGAGGCATTTATCGTTCCCATTTCCCAGATGAGATTGAGGCTCAAAGGCCATGAGCCTCGGGTCTCAGAGTTGGGACCCCAGCCCTGCTCCTTGGGCTCTTCCTGAGACACGGTGCTTCTCTTCTGCCTGAGCCTTAGAGGACCCACCTGCCTGTTTTCCAGGCATGGTACCTGCACTTTTCCAAGAAGAGGAAAAGGAGGGGATCCTTGGTCAGATTGGACAAGAGGCTTTGAAGCAGGGGACGGGCCCGGCCAAGGAGTCTGTGTGGCAGTACTTTGTGAACAAGAGTGCCAACAACCTGCACATCGTGCTGGGCATGTCGCCCGTGGGGGATACCCTGAGGACCTGGTGCCGGAATTTCCCAGGTGCGCAGGCCGAGCTTGCAGAGGCATGTGTCCCCTGCAGCGGGGCATGCGCCTTGGGGAGTGATGCAAAGTAAAACACAACTTGTCATAGGTTGAAACTGGGACTCTGCAGTGCAGGGTGAGCTCCACTCCACCCTCACAGTTGGCCAGCGGGCTCCCATGTTGTCCTTGGGTCAGTGGTGTCCTCCTGACAGGAAGACGTGCTCACAGCCCCAGGTGCAAGGCCCGTAGTGCCTTCAGCGTCACTCTGCTCTCCCTTCCATCTGGGAAGACCGTGCCAGCCTTGTGGAGGGGGCAAGACCCTGGGGCATGTTCAGTTGTCAGGGATGGGGTGGCAGGTATACTCCTGATGGAGGCCAGGGGAGGCTGCCAAACATCCTACAATGTGTAGACTGCCCCCAGACAGGATTATCTGGCCCAAATGCCAACAGTGCTGAGGCTGAGCAACCCTGCTGTTGAATTATTCTTGGGCATATCCAGCTCATTCACGTTGGTTGGGTATGGAAGGACGGTATCAGTGGTGAGTGTCTTGGGCGGCATGGTGATCCTCCGGTTCCTCCCTCTTTGTTTTCAGGTCTGGTAAACAACACCGGCATTGACTGGTTCATGCCCTGGCCTCCCCAGGCCCTGCATGCCGTCGCCAAGTCATTTCTAGGTAAGTGACAGCTGATTCAGGGACCACACTGATGGTACAACAAAGCAGCCTGTTACCACTTTTCTGACTTTGAATTTGGTCCAGTAGATTCCTTCACGTTACCCCCATGACCACGAGTGGTTTTTAGTTTGTTAGTGTGCTTTTGGCTTTTATTGTGTTTTAGTCCAAAGAGATTTGAGGGGGACTTAAGAGGACAATTTAGGATAACAAATTATTAGGTATCGTTTAAAGCAGGAGTCGGCAAACCATGGCCTGTGGGCTAAATGCAGCCCACTGCTTGTTTTGGTTAGTAAAGTTTTATTGGAACACAGACTCACTCACTCATAAACATATTGTCTCCGCCTGCTTCTATGTCACAACCACAAAGCTGAGTAATTGTGACAGAGATTGCGAGGCCCACAAAGCCTGAATATGTCCTGTTTAGCTTTTTATGGAAAAAGCATGCTGACCTCTGGCCCGAAGGATGGGCTGTTGTGGCCAGTGCTGCTGTGAACGTTCGCCTACAAGAATCAGCTTGTGTCTTTTTCAGTGCTTTTGAGGACATACCTGGGAGTGGAATTGCTGGGTCCTGTGGGAATTTTGTATTGAACTTCTTGGGGAACTGCTCCTTTCCTTTCTTTAAAAGGCACGTTTTTCATCTGTTCCTCTTTAGGGAGTAATTCCATGATCCCTGCAGAAAATATAGAAGATCTGGTAGAACATGTGGTTTTGGTCCACGAATCTGTGGGTGAATTCAGTAAACAGTTTCTGCAGAAGCTGAGGCGCAGCAACTATGTAACTCCCAAGAATTACCTTGATTTTATTAACACATACTCAAAGTTACTGGATGAGAAGACTCAGTACAACATAGGTGAGACTTGGGAATGGGATGGTTAACAGAAATTGTTATTATTTACAATAATCCAAACTCCAGTCTTTTCTTTAAGCAGATATTCCTTAGTGAGACGAGATGTACTCAGGATTGAGGCAAAGCAAGGCACAGTTTGGGTTTTGCATTTCAGAGGGATTCTCCTGTTGGGCAGAGTCCTGGCATGCCCTTACTTTTATGTTTCCGTGTTGGTCCATGAACTTCTTAGCTCTAAATTGTCACTGCGTTCGAGATACTGGATGGCAGCAACGTGCTCTGTTGAAAAATGCTTTTATTAATTTTTTATTTACTTTTATTTATTGAAAAAACAGCCTTTTAAAAAAATCCCAGAAGTAATATATGCATTGTAGAAAGATTTTAAAATATAATCAGAAATCCTGAAGGAAAATTTTAAGTGGTTCCTAAAATTTCACTGTAGAGGTCACTGCTGCCTGGATTTGGGGTTAAGTCCTCTCACACTCTTTTGTTAGAAAATGCTCTTTAAAAAATGCTCTGGCTCTTGGCCAAGCGAAGGGCTGTTTTCAGAAATATATTCATTTTGGCTGATGCCGTCCCAGCACGGAGGTGGAGGTGCCAAGCGATGCTTGACCTCTCATGAGAACGATTTTTCCTGGTGAGCCCAGGTGGGACAAATTGCAGTGAGGCCACCAGAATGTTCTCCTGGGTGAGCTGGGAGCAGCGCCGCCTTGCTGGTGAACATGACATTGTCTTTCCTCAGCACAGTGCAAGCGTCTGGAGGGGGGGCTGGACAAGCTGAAGGAGGCCACCATTCAGCTCGACGAGCTGAACAGGAAGCTGGCCGAGCAGAAGATCGTGCTGGCTGAGAAATCTGCTGCCTGCGAGGCCCTGCTGGAAGAGATCGCCACAAACACGGCCATAGGCGAGTGTGGGAGCAAGCAGCTCTGGGGATGGGGACACTCCTGCTCCACACACACAGCAGGACAGGGCTCCACAGGGGGACATCCCTGAGAGGCCATGGTAGACAGTGAGAGTGGCATCTTTTGACCCTTTGATGGCTATGTTTTCCTGAGTTAGTGCCAAGCCCCCTTTAGTGGCCATGGAGACCCCACCACAGGCAGGACCCAGGGCTGGCGGCTTAGGGATTTGTCGGGAGTGGAAGTGCCGTCTCTCTGCCTGCTGCGGACACTCCGTCAGCCTCTGCTTGTTGACTGTAAATTCACCCCGGAGAACACCATGGCAGAGGTTCTGGTGAACTCAGCACACATTTCCTGAGTACCTACTGTGTTCATTTCCTGAGACTGCCATAACCAAGCACCACAAACTGGGTGACTTAAAAAATTAGACCTCTATTCTCTCACAGTGGTGGTGGCCAGAAGTCTGCAATGGAGGTGTTGGCCGGGCCAGGCTTCCTCCAGAGGCTCCAGGGGAGGCTTCTGCCCTGTCTCTCCAGCTCCTGGTGGTGGCTGGCAGTCCTGGGCATCCTTTGGCTTATAGATGCATCACCCCAATCTCTGCCTCTATCACATGACCTTCTTCCATGTCTCTGCGCCCTCACATGGCCTTCTTATAAGGACATAGTCATTGGATATAGGGCCCACCCCAACCCAGTGTTACCTCATGTTAACTAATTACATCTACAAAGACACCGTTTCCAAATAAGACGACATTTTGAGGTTCTCGGTGGACGTGAATTTGGGGGAACATTATTTAACCCAGTATAACCTCCTATGACCCAAGCCCTATTCTGAACATGGGCTTTACAGCCCTTGGGCAATGCTTGTGTTCTGGTGAGCAGAACCAGACAGCAGGCCAGGGAGTAGATGGAAGTTCAGATCACGGTCAGTGTCATGAACCAAATACACAGAGTGGTGAGGGTGAGAGTAGCTGAGCGGGCGCCACTTTATGGGGGTGGGGTGGAGGTTGAGTTGGGCCTGAAAGAGCATATGAAAAGGTGATGAAAAGGCAGAGAGATCTCTGTGAGCCTGAAACAAGGAGGGCAGCCTGGTGTCCTCAGCAGCCCTGGCCAGGCAGGCCTGGGGGGTGTCACATAGGATGGAATGGGTGGGACATGGGCACGAAGGTCAGAGTTGGAGCCGCAGCCCTGGTGGGGAGACCTGGTGCACTGTGGAGACTTCTGTGCCTGTGGAACTCCAAAGCGCATTAGCTCCCCCTGTGGCCCAGCAACCACCCTGAAGGGCTGTGCACTACTTTGGCTCATCCCATATCCAGTAGCTTCACTCACCTCCCCTCCCCCCCC